TTTTTTTTTTTTTAATATTTTATTTATATATTTGACAGAGACAGAGAGAGAGGGAACACGAGTAGGGGGAGTGGGAGGGGGAGAAGCAGGCTTCCTGCCCAGCAGGGAGCCCGATGCGGGGCTCGATCCCAGGACCCTGGGATCATGACCTGAGCTGAAGTCAAACACTTCATTGACCGAGCCACCCAGGAGCCCCAGATGATTCAGTTCTTAAGGGATCTAGATTTTAGTAAGGGAAGACAGACACAGATTGATTACATGAGACTTACTAAGTGCTCTGAAGGAAAGCACATGGGGTCATGTGCTAGAGATAGGTGGGTACTGGTCTTTGGGGGGTGGAACCTAAACGAGGAGGAGGAGCCAGTTGTGCGGGAGTCTAACGGGAGCGTGCTCTGGGGACAAGGGACAGCAAGAACCAAGGTCTGGGATGGGACCAAGGTCACTGTTTCAGGAACACAAAGTCCAGTGGGATTCCAGCAGGAGAGGAGATGGGGACTAGATGAAGCTTAGGTCATGGTCGCAGGTTTAGGTTTTATGTCAAGTGCAGTGAGAAGCCTCTGGCAGGCTCTGAACGGGGTCATCCTTGAGTTCCCACTCCGCTTTGGTTCTCGGTTGTCAGAGTGGACACAATGGCAGCGAAGTGGAAGCCAGGGGCCCAGTTCCACCCTCCCCACTGCCAGCTCCTGGGCCTGACGCAGCGGTGCTAGAGACACTTCTCTTGGTTTTGTTTACTCACGTGGGTAAGAGGCAAGCAGTCTCCGCTCAGCTCAAAATATGGAAGCTGTTTAAAAGGCCATCTCTGTTCTGTACCTTTTGGGTCAAATTTTTGTTGTCTCCCTCCAGCCAACAAAGTGTTTTATTCCTGTGTACTCACTGTAACTGTGAACTCAAGGAAGATCATCCCATTAGCTCTTTTCCTTAGAAATCATTCAGAGTTGCTTGATTGGAACTAAAGGTAACTTTAAAAACAGCAGTCTTCTAAACTCAGCGGCCTCCACATACTGGATCCTCCTTTTCATACCTGGGCTGTGAAACCAATCTTAGCTGATGCAGAAGTTGTCCCCAGCCTTCTCTCTGAGTAACAACCTCCACCCTGTCACGTTTGACTCAAAGCACCCAGGGGTTGGGGCACCAACCCTGAGCAGTCGCAAGCCCGGGTATCACTTTTGGCTCCCCCAAAACCTAATAGCCTACTGTTGACTGGAAGCCTTATTGAGAACATAAAACAGGCAATTAACATGTTTTGTATGTTATGTGTATTACATATTGTATTCTTTTTTTTAAAGATTTTTTAAATTTATTTATTTGAGAGAGAGAGAATGAGAGAGAGCACATGAGGGGGGGAGGGTCAGAGGGAGAAGCAGACTCGCTGCCGAGCAGGGAGCCCGATGCGGGACTCGATCCCGGGACTCCAGGATCATGACCTGAGCCGAAGGCAGTCGCTTAACCAAC